AAAATCAACTTAGATAATCATGATCTGTAAAATAACTGTTATAGCTTCATGGAAAACTGGATGTTGCTTAAGGCCCATGTTTGATTTTACTCAGGGAAATAAGCACACCTTCAGGACTTCTGTTTCTATGCTACCACACACAGGTGCGTGATGGGAGTGGGATCTGAATGGGCTTGGAGTGAGTCTACCATACTGATAACTCACAGCATGAGTTTTCCCCAGATAGTCACATTCCTAAAGTTTGCTGCTGTTGAGCACCAAAGTTATTCTTTTGTGTCTTCTTTCTCTATATTTCAATTCTTTGTTGGTGATTGAGTTCTAAAGTGTCTTGTGGAGTTGGATTTATACTGTTTGAGCAGCATGACTTACCAACTTGTTCATTTTTCATGGTTAATCTGTTTTTTGTTACTTACAGTAGTCCATTCTAATTAACACTATGTTGGATAGTGGTAAAGTTTAGCTGTACCTACAGTGTCAATGATCTGTGTGAAAAATGAGGATGTAGTTGTTTTACACACACAACACACACACATACAACATTTTTGTATTAGAAAATTTAAACACACAGCAAAATTGAAGGAATGTTAGAGTGAACATCAGTGGATACAGAACCTAGATTATGTTTTCAGGAAAAGCTTTATCATATGCTACATTCATATCTCCAACACAAATTTATCTTTTTTGGTACCCTTTAAAGTATGCTATAGGTTCTAGTACATTTCCTCTAAATAGTATGCATGTTACTAGTGACTTTTCAGTTTTTAAATTTTTTTTTCTAGAGGTAACGTGTACATACAATAACATAAATAAAGCATATTTATATTTTCTGATTGTGACAAGTGCATAAAACTACATAAACCAAATCTCTATAAAAATATAGATGATTGACATAGTGTGGAAATTTTACGTGGATTTTTTTCCGGTCAATTTTTGTAACGATTCTCAAGCTAATGAAAAACACTACTATTTATTCTAATACTGATTAACTGTGCATTTTCTTGAGCTCCATGAAAGCTGAATCAACCATAATATACTCTCTTATATAAGTGCTGTGCTTTTAAAATCAACTATGTGAAAAGTATCAGTAATATGTTTCTACGTATATCTACTGTCACTATGGGTTAGTTTGCTTAGTTATCCTTTTTTATGGATACACTAGGCTGTCTCTAGTAGGCTATTATTAAGAAAGCTGTATTGAATTGTCTGACATAAGTGCTATAGACACATATCTTTTCATTTACTTTGAATGAAGTCTAGTGAGTGGAATTACTGTACCATACCATAGGTATTTGGTTTTTAAAGAAACTGCCAAATCTTTTTTCAAAAGAGAACATATTACTTTAAACCTGTAAGTAGAGGTTCAAGAGAGTTTTGGGTGTTCAATAAGCCTGTCAACATTTTATGTTTCCAGTAAAAAAAAAATTACCATTATGAAGGACAACGAATTTTCAAAATATACTTTTGCTGCCTGACTATCCAAGCTCTGACATGTATAGACACCATGCCTAGGTCTTCTGTCTCTTGAATGCCTTGCTCAGTGCTTAACAGTGAAGAATACATCTCAACCGTAACTAACAAAGTGAATTTGTGACTGTTTTTTCTTCAGGACTTTCCTGAGTCAACAGGAGAAGTATGATAATTACTATGTGCAAATATTGTTGCACTTGCCGAAACAGGCACATCAGATATTAGGGCCTTAATATTTAGAGTACCTAAGCTGTCAGGATGGATGTGTCTATTACTGCCTGTTGTTATTCTTGGAATATTGTCTTGAGCAGAGACACGAAAGTATTTATCTCCCATCCCTGGCTAGGATTTCATCTGCATAGGATCTCGAAAGAAAAAGAGGCAATAATAAGGCTAGCCTGTGTTACAGCCATATTTTAATGTGTCTATTTGTGCAGTAGCTAATTCATTTGAAAGAAGGTATCCTTTTTAGTCTTAAACCCACAAACTGAGAAATAAACCTCCTCCTTTTTAAGGAGTTTTATTTATTTGAAGGGGAAGGAGACGAAAAAGAGGGAGAGATTTAGAGAAAAACAAAACAAAACAAACAAATCCCCCCCAGCCCCCGCCTTCTGTCCCCTGGTTTTCTCACCAAATGGCTAAAATGACCAGACAGAGCTGTGCCAGGCTGACACCATGAACTTCTTGTGGGTCTCCCATGTGGGTGCTGGGATCCAAGGACTTGGTATACTACCAGGGAGCTGCATCATAGGAAGAGTAGCCAGGGATTGAGCCAGCTCCCATATAGGGTGACTTAACCTGTCACCTGTTATACCATGGCACTGGTCATGAAAAAAGCCCTTTATTAGGAAATATGGTGATACCTTCCTTCAGAAAATGAATCTTCTGCTTTTTTTTTTTTTTGGAAAATATTGCTGAATGAGAGTTAGAATTGAAGGGTGTTTGTACTAAACAATAGGAGTTTATTTTTTTTCAGAGTCTGAAGGTTTGAAGTCCAATATCAAGGTGCTGGGAGTACCTTTTCTTCTTGGCTTTTTTTTTTTCTTGGCTGGCAGAATGTATTTGTCTTACATATTATCATAACATTTTCTCTTTGTGTGTCCCTTTCTGCTTGGTCTCTCTCTCCCTCCCTTTCTCTCCCTTCCTCTCTCCGTTCTGTCATCTTGTAAGGATAGCATTCATATTGTATTAGCATCCTATCCAACAACCCAATTTAACCTTAATCACCTCCTTATTTTTCCTGTTTCCAAATATGTTTAGAACAATTCAATCCATACCAAACGTTATTGAGTGGTAGTCTGTAGAATATAAAAAGGAAAGAAGAATGGCTTACTCAAAGAAAGCTGTTAGACTGATGCAAATCTGACTCCTGTGAAAGGACAGGGAAAAGACACAGAAATGGGACATGTTGGGACTTAGAAGTGAAGATCTTAGTAACCCAACAAGTAATCCAGGAACAGAAACTTGCTCATCAAGACCCAACGTTAAAAAGAAATGGACAGACTGATTCTTGCTTTGCTTGGTGTGTCACATTGCTTGGTTGTGTTTAACACTGTGTGTGTTTAGATACCAGTGATTATCATAAGTAATATTAAATCAGGTGCAACCTCTTTCAAAAGCATTCTGTAGAAAAGTGTTGTGCTCCTGTCAAATATTATTCTATTTAACCATGAGATTCAGTTTTCAAAATTGCTTAAGATTAAGACTACGTCACAGATCTTTCTTTTCCCAGAAGAGTTACCCTCACCTCCCTCACCTCTCATCAAATGACAGCCTGGCTGCTTGGGATTCTTTTTTTTTCTCCCAACAAATTAAGTCCAATATCAAGTTAATGTATTAACTTAAAGGCCCAGAAAGAGCAAATTGGTAAGACAGAAAGTAAATACACATGTATGTGGTCTTTGATTTGGAACAAGGTTTAACTATCTATTGGATCCCTATCTTGTTGAGGGAAGCAATGCTGTATAACTGATTTATGAAGATGACACAGCAATTTGATAAAGTTATTTAAATCATTGCTTCATGTATCTGAAATGGGTGAATTTTTGTGCCTGTAATATAACTCTTGAAAAAGTTGTTTAAACAATGGGTATTGATAATAAACACCCCCCCTTTTTTTACAAAGATATAAAATCTATCAGTTTTAGGAAAAATAATGAAAAACATCTTTGAGTATTGCAATTCAACATATCAGACTTGTAAATCCCAATCATAATAAAGATTTGTCTTATGAAAATTCAGTCCAATGATAATATTACATGTTATATAATTTGACACACCAGAATAAGTTTTTTAGCTAATTGAAAAGTTATGCAAAATGAAACCACATTAAACTGCCATGCCATCTCCAATAAAATGTGACAAACATCTATTAACTCTCAACGTATACTTTTTTGAGAAAAGCTATGTTAGATGTATTGTCCAAAGTTAAAATGTGTAACAATTACAGCTATTACTATCTTGACATAAAATGAATGGTAAAGATTGATTCGGGAGTGTTCTATACATGGAATGATTATTCTACATTGGTGATCATAATTTGGATTGAATGAGTGATTAAACTGTGAGATTTTGAAGGTCAAAGACATTGTTTCCCTTGCATGCTTTACTTGTTTTGTTCTGTACATATTTAATAGTGACATATAACTGGGCTAAATTTTAAAGTAATTCAGTTATAGTAAATGGTAATGCTCAACCAAGAGAGTCATTAATCACTTTTGATCTGCCTCTTTTAGGCATAAAATCCGTTTTAGGGTAAAAACTCTGAAGTGATTTGTCTTTCAGCATTAATTTTAGTTTTAATTCATACAATTCTAAAATATTATATAAGTTTATCAGATTCACAATAAATGTATTGGTTAGAACAATGCAATATGCAGTTATATAATTTTTTATCATAAACTATAAAGTTTATGGTATGTTAAGTATTTGGAATTAATAAATTTTCATTCAATAATAGAATTTGCATGTTTCAGAAGTCAGTCAAGCATGCTCTATTCCCTGTTACTGCTGACATTTCTGATCTTTTGTAATATTTACTTGCAGTCATCCAATTTGTTATTTATCACTTCACAATGTTGATTTCAGGGTTTTAAAAACATTTGCTTTTTCACTCCTTCTATAGAACATTTTAATAGACAGTGAGTTGCCTATTTCCTAGGCCGTCCAGTATCCTTCCTCACTGTCTGGGTTAAAGGAGGCAATGGAAGGAGCATGAGAAGGCAATGTCTGTTACCATTTTAGCTTGACTTGGTCTAGTCTGTTCTGCCTGTCAGTGCTGAATGCTCCAGATAAACTGGAGTCTTGGAATAGAATAAATTGATTGAGTACTTATTTTTGCATCAAGTGACTTCAATTCATAGTTGTTTGCATGACATAATTCTTCAGTATCCGTAAGCTTCCTTACTCTTTTGTCTTTTGCTCTGGAATCTTTAAACCTGTAATGAATCTTTAGTTATCCTTCATCATGGGAGCAAATGTCTTCAACTTGTGTCTTGGAGAGGACGATATTTCAGTAAGAAATTAAGACCTACGCTCACTTCGGTAGCACATACACTAAAATTGGGACAGTATAGACAAGATTAGTGTGGTCCCTGCGCAAGGATGATATGTAAATTTATGAAGTGTCCCTTCATAAAAAATTAAGATCCTTTAATAAAAAGTAAACAAATTTGGATAGAAATTTAAAAATTACTGAGTTAGGATATAATTTTTAAAAGATTTATTTATTTAAATTGGAAAGTCAGATATACAGAGAAGAGTAGAGACAGAGGAAGATCTTCCATTCAATGATTCACTCCCCAGGTGATCACAATGGCCAGAGCTTAGCCGATCCGAAGCCAGGAGCCAGGAACTTCTTCCAGGTGTCCCACATGGGTGCAGGGTCCCAAGGATTTGGGCCGTCCTCCACTGCTTTCCTAGGCCACAAGCAGGGAGCTGGATGAGAAGTGCAGCAGCTGGGATATGAACCAGCATCCATAGAAGATCTTGGTGCCTTCAAGGCGAAGTCTATTTTGGAGCATTCTGATTATGAAGCCTATATTTGCTCACAGACATTTGGAAAACCTTGGTTATAGGGAAATCTTCAGTTTAAGGTATGTTTAAGAAAATTCTTATATCACAGAAGACAAAATATTTGGAGATTTTTGGGCTTTGATTATTTGTGAGCTTTCCTTAAAAAAACCGAGCCAAAAAAATATCTTGTGTTTAGGAAAGACATTATAAGGGCTGCTGTAGTGGTATAGTGTGCTAATCTTTTGCCTGTGGTGCTGGAGTTCCTTATGGAGCAGGTTTGATTTTTGGCTGCAGCACTTCCTACCAGCTCCCTGTGAATCAGAGGATGCATGCAGCTTTGTGGCCCAGCCCCCCAGGGGAACTTGGAAGAAGCATCTAGTACTTGGATTCAGGATGGCTCAGCTCTGCCATTGCTGCCATTGCTGCCATTTGGGAAATGAACCTGTTTCTCTCTGTAACTCTTTCAAGTAAAATAAATATTTTTTGAAGGAAGTTATAATGAAAAATAGCAAGAAAAGTAGATTAAAAAACTGTGGGAAAATGCAGTAATAGTATAGTGAAACTAACTTGAGGGCGGTTTTGTAATTTGTGAGCTAACTGAACTTATGCAGGCCTTATGAAAACAGAAACTGATCCCAGATAGCTCTACTGTTTGCTCTTCCTCTCTCATTGTGGTGTTAGGACTATTAAGCATCTATTTATTAAACTATGCAGATGTATTTAGTTGTGACCCAAAGCTCTAAATTTTCGTTTTCTGCTTTCCAACCTGTTGCGGAGTGCAAGAGAGATCATGGCAAACAAGTCTAGGATATACTAAGGAGTTATTACTAACCAATCTTGGTCATGGCAGTGGTCACTAGAAATTAGCTAATGAACTGTCACTGTGGCAGTCCAGTCTGAGTTGAAACACTGAGAGGAATAGTCATCACTGTGAAATCCATCTGTTAAACTCAAGACCTATGTTTCAGCTGCCTCACCTATATAAGTTATCCTAAGAAATATGTAGCAAACAGCCCGGGCATTCTTGCAAAGCTGCATTCACCTTTTCCTGGCTTCTCTATCCAAACAAATGCATGGTCCCAAAGCCTTGTATCATCCTCTACTGCTTTCCCACACCACAAGCTGGAACAGAAGTAGGGTAACTAGGTTATGAATTAGTACATCTATGGGATCCTGGGGCTTGCAAGGTGAGGATTTAGCCACTGAGCCATCATGCTGGGTCCTTACCCAATCTTTTAACTCAATTTTCTCTTCAACTACAATTATAAAACAAAAATTACTATAATGTTTAGTGTTCTAAGTATTGTTAGTGATCTTTATAATAATAATGAAAAGTCATTATTCTTTATCATCATAATAATAACCTAATTCTGTTAATCTTCTCTACAAACTGAAAAGGATAAAGTATTTTTGTATTGTGTCAAACCAGATTGTGATGTATATCCTAGATAATATACCAAAGAGATTGCAAAAAAAAAATTATGCTACACTTTCTGTATAGCCAAGCAGATCAATTCTGCTGTGTAGATGTTATCTTTTTCCAAGGGAAAAGTAAATTTGTTTTCTGTTTTTACAGGTTAGGAAATTACAGTTTGGAGCCAGGCACCTGAGGTAGATTTGTAATGAGATGGAGAACTAGGTTACTTACATCTTGAGGTTCACCTTGAAGAAGCATGGCTCCAGTGCCCCTAAAAAAGATATTTCTGGCATGCAGATTTGCCAGGAGTCTCACTTAGCTTTAAAAAGGATTTACTTATGTAAATGTAATGGACACATGCAAGCATTTATAATTTCAAGGTTTCTAAATCCAATCCCAAAGAGAAAACAGGGATAAGCAGTCTTGTTTATTTTTTTCCCAATTACTGTATATTTAATTGGTATTTGCACTTACTCTGATAACTAATGCAACATTCTATAAAATTATTTTCTATCACTAAAACTTATGTATTTATTTGAGAAGCAGAGGAAGGGAGAGAGAGATGGAGAGAGGAGAAAATGAACCACTTGTGAGGTCAGCAGCTGGTTCAGGGTCAAGAGTTTGGAATTCACTCCCTTCTCATACACACGCACGCACACACACACACACACACACACACACACACCCCTTTGTGGTCTCTTCTGCCCACCTGTGATGCTCACCCATCCTTACCTGGAACTTGAGAGGGGGTGGTATTGCATTGCTGCATAACCACTTTCCTCAGAAACCCCCATAAAGGCCCATGGTGAGGAGGGGCATGCTCTCTTGGTCATGTGCTTCATTCCCTCTGGCATTCTGACTCTTAGCCTCCCATTTCCTGCTTTCTCTCTAGCTTCAGAGGACAGAGGTAGCCCCTGAACCTGGTCCCTCTATGTCTGTATTCCTGACCCTCTGTTCATTGCTTCGATTAGACAGTAAATGCTATGATGCTTTGTATTTCTAAGTTGTGTACTCTCAAGAGTTCCAGGAGAGGTGAGGCCTAGCAGTTATGGGATGTGGACATAGAAACCAGGGAAAGGCGAATAACTGCAGCTTTGTTAATGTGTCCAGGTTATTTGTGGTGTATTTCTTACAGTAATGTCTATAGCTGGGGAAGTTGGAACATAGGTCTTGAGTTTACTGGATGGACTTCTGGGTAAAGACTGTTTGCTCCTCTCAGGGTTTCAATTCAAACTGCATTTTTCATTTGCTAATTTCAAGTGGACCCTGAAATCACCAAACTTTGTTAATGAAGATTCCTTAATACATCCTGTACTTTTCTGGTGTGATCTCACTCACACCCCACAACATACTTACTGGTTATCTTCTTGAAGATCTACCATAGCAAGAGCTGGATTGGTACGGAAGTCATGATCCAGGAAATGCCATCCAGTTCATTCACATGGATGATAGTGTTATGGGGAAATGGCACAATGGAAAATGACCCTGATTCTCATCTTAAATGAAAAAGAATTTTCTTTTGAACATGATCAATGAGCAAAGCAAAATTTATTAAAGTCAGATACCGTCAGCCACAGTTGCAAGGAAGGTAATTTCAACAGAGGCAGACCAGAAAATCTGGATGGAGTAGCCTTTTAAGCACATTTTTTTGGTGAAAAAAATAAACACTTGCTAACAATCAGTCAATGTGTGGAAATAAAACCCACCAAGAGGCAGAAATAGCAGTCTATCTAGCTTGTCCATGATAAAACAAAAAAGCCATCAGGATTGTGTAGGTATCTTTCTATTATTTTGATAAATTCAGAAGGGGTGGAATGATTACCTTCTTGCTATTTGTGTGACAAAACCAAAAACCCAGAAGCGTGGGATCAGTGCTTTAATCTTCTTAAAGACAGCTTTTGAGTAGTAACATGAATTTATACCCCTTAGAGTCTTGCCTTTTCCACATTCCAGTCAGGACCCAATCTAAGTGCCTCCCCACCTGAAGAGCTCAGTTGCTTGAGACACCCCCGAATCCTTCCAGAGTGTGCAGTGGAAGTGTGCTGGAATCAGGTCCTGGAGTTGATGATTAAACACAGGCACTCCCAATGTAGGACCACTAGACTAAATACCTTCTACCGTCACTACTTGTAAGTAGAATTGAAATCAATGTTCTTAGACATGTACTTTAAAAATATGTTTTTAATTGAAGAATTTTTATTTTAGATGATGTTTACATAGTTGATGGTGGGGGGAAGGATTGAGGGTTTGGGGAAAGTGGGTGTGATCATTGTTTACAAACTTTCTATTACTTCTTCATCTTTCTGGGGAGGGAGGTGATAAGGGGAGAAGCCCTACCCAGCCTCCCAACTGCCCCAGTGCCAAGGGATGGGGAGCAGCCTTATAATATCAACCCAGTGTCCTGTTGCAGTGCACTTTCTGAGGGTTCTGCCCTGGTGGTTTTGATAGTTCTAATATGCTGTCAATTTTGCTGATCTAAATATGGGGAAACCATTGCAATGTCCATTGGCTGACATAATTGACCTTAGAGTCTCCATTTCCCCAGATGTTTACTGTCATCTTTTGGCTGAGGTGGTTATTCAATTTGCTCTGTTCTCCTTTTTCTGCTATGGTAGCAGATGTCCTCTGCAGACCACAAAGGACTTCCATATCTTCCATATGCTTCAGGGCCTGCTGTCCACTGCTCCGTCTTTTCCTTGAGGAAGACCAGTTTTTATAGGTGGGCTGATGACCTGGGCCTTGTGACCCAGGGCCCACTGGATCCCCTGCCTCCAGAACTCATGGACCTGGCACCCACAATGCAGGTGGGACCAAGGCTTAACGATGTTTTAACAGATGCAATGGTAAAAGCTTCAAACAAGTGTTTTCTTGAGTAAAGACATCCTCTGGGATTTAGCGATATGTCTGCATATCACTAAAGTCAGATACCTTTGTCTTTATGTCAGATACATTTGTCTTTATATCTAACTTTAAATTCTTTTTTTAAAATTTGCTTTTTTTTCCTTTTAAATTTTGTTTTTGATGATTACATAGTTGATCGAAGTGGAGAACGTGGGCAAGACCATTGTTTACACATTTTCTTTTTCTTCTTCTTGTATCTGGGAAGGGAGATACAAGGGAGAAATCACACCCAGCCTCCCAACCACACCAGTACCCAGAGATGGGGAATGGCTACCCATTCTCATCCCACGGCTCCCATTGTGGCGT